TTTTTTTCCTGTTGATTTGTAATACTTTATTCTGGATGTGTGACCTTTCTAGGATACACAGGTATTATATGTATTACATTTTTCTATTTTTCAAACTGTAGCATGACTTTTCACTCTTTTAATGGTGTTTTTACATGAATGGAGATTCTCCAGTTTTTTTTTTTTCTTTCTTTTTGAGACGGGATCTCATTCTGTTGTTCAGGCTGCAGTGCAGTGGCACAATCGTAGCTCAGTGCAACCTCCACCTCCCAAGGCTCAAGTGATCCTCCTGCCTGAGCAAGCCCCCAAGTAGCTGGGACCTATAGGGAAGCACCATTATGCTCAGCTCTTTTTTGTATTTTTAGTAGAGATTGGGTTTTAACACATTGCATAGGCTGGTCTGGAATTCCTGGGATCAAGTGATACACCTGCCTCGGCCTCCCAAAGTGTAGGGATTACAGGCATGAGCCAGTGTACCCAGCCTGAGTTTCTTAATTTTAATGAAATTATACTTAATTAATCTTTTCCTTTATGGTGACTGCTTTTTGTGTCCTGTTAATCAATGCTTAATCTAAGAATATGAACACTTAACCACATAGCAATTTTATTTTAGTTTATGCTTCCCCCGCTCCTGCCCCAGATAGGCTGTCACTCTATTGCTCAGGCTGTAGCGGGGTGGCATAATCTCAGCTCACTGCAACCTCCACCTCCTGGCTCAAACAGTCCTCCCAACTCAGCCTCCTGAGTACCTGAGACCATAGGTGTATGGGGATTCGACGTTTTCCCAGGTTGGTCTCAAACTCTTGGCCTCAAGTAGTCTGCCCGCTTCAGCCTCTCAGAGTGCTGGGATTACAGGTGCGAGCCACCCCACCCAGCCATGATTCACTTTTTACTACATGGATGTGACTGCATGATCCAGCACCCTGTATTGAAAAGACCGTCTTTGTTCTTCTGCACTGTGTAGCACTTTTTTTCATCAGTTGGATAGCTGTATAGTCATCTGATTGATGAAATCAGTGTGGGTCTGTTTCTGGACCAACCTGGGCAACATAGCAAGATCCAATCTCTACAAAAAATAATAAATAATAAAGAAATACATGAAATTTTTTAAGTGGGTAGAGCAGATGCAGTCATAGGTGGTAATTTATAAATGATTGTCAATTTCTTGGCTATATACAGGTGTTGGTAAGTGAGATCGGTTGGGAGCTCAGGCAAAATGTATTAAATGAATTCTGTGGTGTTCAGAATGATTGCTAGATATTCATTGTGACTTCAATTAGATGTTATTTGTGCCTCACAGAGCTACAGGTTTTATTCTCTATTTATTTGTCTTTTTTTTTTTTTGAGACGGAGTTTTGCTCTTGTTACCCAGGCTGGAGTGCAATGGCGTGATCTCGGCTCACCGCAACCTCTGCTTCCTGGGTTCAGGCAATTCTCCTGCCTCAGCCTCCTGAGTAGCTGGGATTACAGGCACATGCCACCAGGCCCAGTTGATTTTTTGTATTTTTAGTAGAGACGGGGTTTCACCATGTTGACCAGGATGGTCTCAATCTCTTGACTTCGTGATCCACCCGCCTCGGCCTCCCAAAGTGCTGGGATTACAGGCGTGAGCCACCGCGCCCGGCCTATTTATTTGTCTTTAAAAATTTTTACAATCTTCCTGTCAAGGCAGTACCTCTTTTATAGTTAATTGTTTTTAGGTATACTTAATTACCAGGAATATTTTATGGATCATATCTAACTAATTGTTAAGCCAGTTAAAGTAAAGGCTGATGTGATGTAATATAGACAATAGGATTTTACATAATAATTTCAGGAGTATATCGATTAAATTGTTTCTTCTTCTTTTTTTTTTCACACGAAAGTTTTTAGTTTATTAAGCTTCTCGTGAAAAATCCACAATGGCCATAGATTACATCATTGCAGCACCTTTACTCCTTCGGCTGTGATCCAATCTCCAGCTCACTTTTTGCCAGCACCAACACTGGCCTTTGCAGTCCCCCTGACTTTCTTCATTCTGTTCTTGCGTTCTTTTCGTTGCTTTCTTGAGGTCTTTTTCTTCTCATGCAGGCCATGTCTTGCAGGTCTATGTTTGGGTTCATTTTTCTTTGCATAATCCAGGAAACCATAAATCATGCCAAAGCCAGTTGTCTTGCCACCACCAAAACGAGTTCTGAATCCAAATACAAAGATGATATCTGGTGTGGTCTTGTACATTTTGGCTGGTTTTTCCCAAATTTCTGTCTTAGGCACTGCTGCCTTCCCGGGGTGAAGGACATCAATGACCATTTGTTTCCTCTGAAGCAGTCGGGTGGTCATGAACTTACTAGTGCAGATAGTTACTGTGTCGTTCATGATGGCGGCCTATCCTTAGACAGCCGGAGAGGAAAAAAGCGTCTTTTTTTTTTTTTTCTTGAGACAGGGTGTCGCTCTGTTGCCTAGGCTGGAGTACAGTGGTGCAGTGGTATGATCGTTGCTCAGTGCAGCTTTGACCTCTCAGGCTCCAGCAACCTCCCACCTCAGCCTTCTTAGTAGCTGGGACTACAGGCATGCACCACCACGCCTGGCTAATTTTGTATCTTTTGTATGCATGGTCTTCCTATGGTTCCCAGACTGGTTTCAAACTCCTGGGGTCAAATGGTCTTCCCACCTTGGCATCCCAAAGTGTTGGTATTACAGGTGTGGGCCATCGCACCTGGCCATTTTAGTTTTAATCATTTTATATTTTTCTAATTTAGAATATTTACTGTCTATTTAATTTGTGAATATAATATTATTATGATTATTTTGTATGTGTTTAATCTCATTTTAATATAAGCTCTTGGAAATTAGAGATCTTGTCTGTTGTTTACTACTGTAGTCTCAGTACTTGACCCTGCCTGGTATGAAACAGATATTGAAGAAATAGTTGTTGAATGAATGAATGAACCACATTCAAAAATTCTCCAAGTATCACAGTGTTCACCATCTAACAAAATAGCTTGTCTAGAGTCACAGTTAACCTGCCATCAAAGGAAATGTCGATGAAAATAAACCTTTGTATGTGCAGCTGCTAAGATTTGGGGGCTTTTGTTACTGCAGCATAAACTAGCAAACTCAGTGAGACAGCAGATAGAATATACATATAGAAATAGACCAGATAGACCAGTGGATGAGATTCTAAAGATAGTTCAGTCAGCATTAACTAACCACACCCACACTCTCTTAATTTCCTAACAGAAAGAATGGAATTGTGTTCACCAAGATCTGCCTCAAAGAGTACTTACTTTGTGAAAACGTCTCTGGCTACTCAAGTATTTAATCAGGACCTTTTTTTTTTTTTCATTCTGCAGGTTGGAGGGCAGTGGTGCCATCATAGCTCATTGTAAACTCTAACTCAAGGCTCAAGGAATCCTCCTGCCTCAGTCTCCCAAGGAGCTGAGACTGCACATGTGCACCACCATGCTTGGCTAATTTTTTATTTTCAGAGACAGGGCCTTACTATGTTGCCCAGTCTGGTCAGGACTGTTGATTGCATATGACAGAAACCCAACCAACTCTAGTTCCTCACCACCTTTCAATATGTTCCTTTCTCAGTCTTCCGAGTCTCAACAAATGGCAGTTTCATCCTTTAACTTGCCCAAGCCCTGAATCTCAGTGTTAACCTTGATTTCTCTCTTTTATGTCATAGCCCATATGAAGGCCAATCATGTTGAGACCCAGGCGGAGGTTCCTGCTGATCCAGGCTCTCACCAGCATATCGTCCTTTACTGTCCTCCTGAGGGTGTCTGGAGCTACAGTGCTGTGTGCTCTGGGCCGCCAGCTGGGGCACCACCGACTCCTGCTGTCCAGGGCTCCCGGTGGACTCTCTGAGGCACTGATGTGGAATCTTCCCCATTTGGTGCACCAAAAGCAACCTCACGCGGTGTGGGCTGATGTGAAGAGCTGCCAGATCCAACAGGTAAAAATCACGAGGCACTGCCAGCTGGATGGGGTCAGAGAGTCCTCTCTCCAATACGATTCAGATGAGAAGGGAAGATTCCTTAGGCCCTAAACATCGCAGCATGACCTGCGTGTGCCACCCACGAGCTGCGGTGCATGGTCCGGTGGAAGTTATTTGACTCCAGGAGAGGACAGTGTTCTCTTCAGGCCTTTTCCTCAGTGGCTGGATCTGCATCCCTCTCCTCTCTCTTCCCCTCTCACCCCCCAATCTCCGTCCCCATTTCTCTCTCTGATTCTACCTTGCTGTCTCCTTTCACCTGCTTTCACCTCTTCAAATTTCATGGTCCGCCCTCCCTGTCCACCTGCATTTCCCAGGCTAAGTCCCCTGAGCTCTCCTGGGTGGGGAGATGTGTCTGGTTTTAGGCGGTGCCCTCTAGATGTGTCCAGGATGGGGAAACATGGCTCCGCTGCCAGTAGAATGTTTCAGAGAGTGGCCACTTTTGAAGGCCTTTCACATCTCCCATTGTGGAATCGTGTAGGACTTAAAATTGATGGGCCACTGTGGAATTCTTGGGTCCTCAGGACCTTGTGGTGGTTGCCTTCTTTCACTGAGCATTCACAGGGTGGCTATTAGGTGCCAGGCCCTGCTCTGGGGTAGGGGGACCACAATGAGTAAATGTCAGGTCACTGCCCCATGGAACCCACCACTGCAGGCATCAAAAGGGGGAGAAGGAAAGTGGCGTGGCCTGTTTGTATCCTTCTCACATGGTCACCTGCCAGGTCCAGGGGGAGTGGGAGCCAGTGCAAGGAGAGAAGCCCAGTGAGAAAGGCAAAGGGATGATGTCAGACCCAGGAACTAAGACCTCCACCTGCAGCCGGTTAGCTTCTGGAGTAGACAAGGAGCAGCAGGGAAGGCCGTGGCCTGGTGTTCTAGGCTTCGCCGTCCCATCTCATTCCTGTGGGTGCCAAAATTGTCCAAAGGGAAGACTCAGTGTCTTTAACAACAGCAGGCCAGAGACAGTGTTTCAGAGACGCAGGAAGGATTGTACGCCGTGGAAACAGTATATGGTTTTATAGTAGTGCGTCTCTGTCTCTTAACTAGTTAGCGTGTTCCTGTTAATGGAAAATATTGGTGGTGTAAGTTCCCCTGGATCTTCTCATCTTCATGTAAGTTTGTCTGCTCCCCTATCCCTCCCTTCTTTCCTTCTTTTCCTTCTTTCCTGAGTTTTCTGATCATGGTCATGTGAGGCTAAAATCCAGGAATGACCTGGGTATGCTTTTTCTCTAGTGTTCAAGCTTTTATTACAAGTTCACTGCAGATATTGGAAAAAGTTTCTATTCTTGTTTGTGGGGGACTGAGGGCCCTTTTTCTGTGCTGGCTGTCAGCCAGGAGACACTCTGACTTCAGAGGCCACCCGCTTTCCTCCTTACCTATCTTTTCCATCTTTCAACCAATCACAACTCATGGAGTCCTTCTCAAGCTCCTTCCTTCTCTGATTTCATCTTCTCCAACCAGCCACAGAAAGCTCTGTCACCTACAGAGTGATGCGATTCGATCCAGTTCATGCAGGTAACCTCACCATCTTCAAGTCATGTATCTGTCATGTAACAACATAATCACAGGAATAGTGTCTCATCACCTTAATAAGCTTCAGAGACAAGGGTATGGCATGTTTGGGGACCATTTCAGAAATTCCATCTACCACAATTGGACACTCACATTCCCCCATCTGCAAAATGCATTTATCCACTCCCCTAAAGTTTCCAAATTTCATGTTATTAAAGCATTATTTTAACATGGAAAATGTCACATAGTCCACATCAGTTCCAAATTATAAAATCTCATCTAAAACATCCACACTAGGTGTGGATGAGGCTTCTATGTGTGTCCATTAAATACAGATCCTTGACATAATTTCCTTACCTCCATCAACCCGTGAAACTGAACAAACTGCTTATCTGCTCCTGAGGAATGGCGGGACAGACACGGAATAAGAATTACAGTGATTTTAGTTCAAAAAGAAGGAACATGAAAGGGAGAAAGAAGTCACTGACCCAGAATAGTACGGAAGTGGAGCTGGGCAAAATCCAGCAGGAGGTTCTTAAGTAGGACCCACAGCCTGGAACTGAGCCTCCATTCTGTGGGACTTTGCCTCTGGGACATTTGCTCTGCATTTCTTGAAACCATTATTATCTATCTTATTTTTTTCCCCACTCCTTTGGTTCTTCTCCTTTCTCCTCATGGCAGCATCCTCTGCTTAATCCTTGGTCCATCATCCCCAGCAGAATTGGCCAGATATTGCCCGTGTCACAGTCCTGTCCATCTCCACAAGGGGCTGTCCTTGTGAGCCCGTGTTCCTCTGAGATCATCTTCACAGACCTGACCTCTCTCAGTCATGATTGCTTTCAGCTGACCTGGCTGGGTTAGGAGAAAACCTAAAAATATGGAGTCCCAGAACCGTTCTCTGCCGTCTCTTATCTCCAGGAGAGAAAGAAAATAACAGGGATCTTCATGGAGAAATGACCCACGTGAGGGCCTGGACTCTCCAGCAGTTACAGCAGAGGAAACTTCCTGAGGAAGCATGGAGGAGCTGAAGGCTCAGACTGGGAAAGCAGGGTTGTGTTAAGCACTGTTTAATCCTCACGTGCTCCCTGCCCCAATCTACAAGTCAGTGAATGACAATAGACTGAGAATAAGTAACAGGAATATAGAACCATGATAAAGAATTGTCCAAGGAAAGGCCCTTTTACTCTGTTTGCAAGGTGAAATTGCTGTATTGGATCCAAAGTTTTCTGAAAGGCAGCAGTGAGTTTCTGGAGGGTGAGTTACCTGCTTTGCACAGGGAGGGTGAGGCCAAGGCTTGTGTGGTCTATCTCCTGCCACTAGGTGGTGAGGGAGCCTGGGAGAGTCTTAGTCTTTCTGGACTTGAGTTTTCTCATCAGTAAAGTAGGGGCTTATTGTACCTCTCTGAGGTCCCTTCCTGCTCAGTTTTCTCTGAGTCCTTGAGGAACTGAGATGGTCTTTAACACTGCATGGACCTGTAACCTGCCTTTGACCTCTCTGGGTCTGACTCCTGACTCTCGTCCCTGTGTTTCTCCTGCAGAGCCTGAGCTGAGTCCACACCCTGGAAGCCAAGAACCGAGGGATCAGTTGGAAGAAAGTCAGCAGGTTTTGGAAAAGAGAATAACCTGCAAAGGACAAGTCAATGCTAGAACAGGTGAGAAACAAAGAAGGGGCGAATAAGGACAAACTGGGCCAGAAGCCTCAGGGGAAATGGGCAATGGGCCTATGATCATTCAACCACTCGAGGAGCAGCGCAAGCTGAGCAGTGGGGACCGAGAGAGAAACTTACGCCACAGGAGTCTCCTGACCCTGGCCAGGGAGAGCCAAAGCTGGCCAGGGATCAGAGCTGGTTTATAGTGAGGGGCAGCACCAACTCCAAGAGGGGGAGGATGCGACCGTGAGCCCCACTCCAGACACAGGAGCCTCGACCTCGGGGCTGCCATAGCAGTGGATGCTCTTCAGGTCAGTGCGGGTTAGAGAGAAGGAACATGCTTGGAGAAGGGTTAGAGATGTCTGTTCTTAAATGAAACAGTTCTGTCCTAGATCAGGTGTCAGAGTAAGTTTTTCTTGCCAGTATGAAGCAGTGATAGTTACACTCTTCCTCTGCACTTTCAGTTGAGGAAGGTATCTATATGATATGAGTATTTACTGGGTGTTTAATTTTCTCTACACTGTGTTAAGCGCTCGGGGTTCAAATAGTAGTGTTTCCCCAAGGAACTCAAGCTCATGAGAGAAAGAACACAGAGACATGATTTCAAGAAAATATAGTGATTCTCTGAAAGTGGGGTGTCATGGCAGCCAAGAGAATGGGAGTGTTAGTGAAGACATTGCTCCTAATGACAAGGGGAACCATAAGAGGAATTCTTCAGAGTAGTCCCGTTTTTCCTCCAGTGTCCCACAGAAGATCCTGGGGCATGACTGGTGTAGAGCAGGGGTCTACAGGTGTAGGAAGGGGGCTTGCTGCATCTTGGGAGAAATTATAGCATCCCTGGTAGGACATTTTGGAGAGGAATGTTGGTGATTGAATTGGATGTCTGTAGTCACTTTTATCCTATCTTCAGTGAACACTGCTGAGACCTTCCTTAGTGCCAGACCCTAAGCTGGGAATCATGAACACAGAGACGAGTAGAATATGATCTCAGCTTTCACAGGACTCAGTCCAGTGAATAGCAAGTTATGAGAAGTGTAGTGATGGTGGCTTCATTAGAGCAAGTGGCTCATGCTGCATGGAGATGACCTCAGTGGATGGCTGGGTCCCCCTTCTGGTTGTTATCAACAGCTGGATGACTTGCTCTGGGCCAGTGACCCTGGATTTCTGCCAGGTGTCTGCATCTTAGGTACAAGCAACATCTCAGTTTCCTGTTGGGTCAAAACAGTTAACACTGCCAAGGTGATCAGAGGACACTAGTGACATCAGTAGCTACTGATGAGGTCCTGGCCAGCTAGGGAAATAAAGATGTAAGTTTAACAACGATTCTAAATTTGTTCTTAACATCATGAGCAGAGAGTATCTGTCTTCTAAGTTAAATACTTTTTCCGACTTCAAGATTCACCCATATCCAAAATAAAATCTGTATCAGTCATATCACTGCCCTGAGATGATTTCTCCCTGTCCTTACCAGAAGCCTGCACTATCTGGAGCACTGAGGCTATCTCAAGCTAACTGACCTGCTCTCTGGATTCCAGGGTCACCAACAGAACCAGAGGTTGAAGGCACAGGCATTGATATCTACAACCGTTCTGACTCCAGGTTGATCCACCCCAATGCCCAGTATTAACCACACAGTAACAGGATGCCACCAACATTTTGATTTGGGGCTGTCATGTCATAATTTTAATACAATTTAATAGACATTATTTTTTAGAATAATTCTAGGTTTACAGATAAATTGAGCTGAGAGCACAGGGAATTCCCCTATTCTCTCTTGTCCCCTAGAACACAATTTCCTCTATCATTAGTATCTTGCATTAGTGTGATAGATGTTTTCAATTGATCAATCAATATTGATATGTTATTATTAACTAAACTCCATAGTTTACATTAGGGTTCATTCTTTGAGTTTTATAGTTCTGTGGGTTTTGACAATTCCCTAGTGTCATGAATCCTCAGTACAGTATCTCACAGAGTTTCACTGCTGAAAACCTCCTTGTGTTCAACCAATTCATCCCTCCTCCACGCTTGGCAATCACTGATCATTTCACTATCTCTACCATTTTGACTCTCCTGGAATGTCCTAGTGTTGGAATCATACAGTGTGTAGAGTCTTTAGACTAGTTTCTTCCTAGCATTATGGATTTAAAGTTCCCCCATGTCTTTTCATGGCCTGATAGCTCATTTCTTTTTATCACGGAATCATATTCTGTTGTACAGATATTCCACAGTTTGTTTAGCCATTCACTTAGTAAAGGATATTTTGGTTATTTCCAGTTTTTGACAAGTATGAGCAAAACTGTTGTAAATACCTGGATGCAAGGTTTTGAGTGAACATGTTTTCACATTACTGTGGTAAATACCTAAAACTGCTATTTGCAGGACTATGTGGCAAGGCTATATTTAGCTTTGCCAAAAAAAAAAAAACTGCCAAACTGTTTTCCAAAGTGACTAGCATTTTGCATTTCCACTAGCAGTGAATGAGAGTTCCCGTTGCTCTGCATCTTTGCCAGCCTTTGGTATTGTCACTTGTTTGGATTGGAGCCATTCTATTAAGTATATATTATAGTGTAGTGGTATCTCATTGGTTTAATATGCAATTTCCTAGTGACACATGATATCGAGCATCTTTATCATATGCTTATTTGCCATCCATATGTCTTTTTCTGGTGAAGTATGCAGATCTTTTGCCCATTTCTAAATTGAGTGGTTTGCTTTTTTATTATTGAGTTTTAAGAGTCCTTTATATATTTTGGACACCACACTTTGATCAGATCTGTATTTTGCCAATGTTTTTTTCCCCAGTCTATCACTTGTTTATTCATTCTCTTAACAATGTCTTTCACAGAGCAGAAGTTTTTAATTTTAATGAAGTTCAACTTATCAATTTTTTTCTTCCCGGATTGTGCTTTTGACATTGTATCTGAGAAGTCATCGCTAAACCCAAAGTCACCCAGATTTTCCTCTATGTTATCCTCTAGGAGTCTTACAGTTTTGCACCTTACATTCAGGTGTAAGATCCATTTTGTGAAAGGTGTAAAATCTGTGTCTGGATTTATTTATTTTTCACATGTAGATATCTAGTCATTCTAGCACCATTTGTTGAAAAGACTATCCTTTCCCTGTTAAATTGCCTTTGCACCTTTCTCAAAGATCAGTCTATTTCTGAGCTCTGTAGTCTTTTCTGGTGACCTATTTGTCTGTTTTTTTCTTCCTTCACAAATTTCCATACTCTTTGGTTACTGTAGCTTTATAATTAGTGCTGAAGTTGGCAGTGTCAGTTCTGTGGGCATTTTTCTGATCTTTACCATGAGAACCTGGTTGGGCTCCAGGTGGTAAAACTTAGAAAAGTGTGAGATCCCCCCTAAATCTGGGCCCCAAGGAGTTTTGAATGCTCAAGCCAGGCCACCCTCAGCGTCTAGTCATCTGTCAGTATCATTTAAGTGCTCCTCCCAGTGGCTGGCTTCAGCAGCTTCTGTTCCCTGTGTTTGCCTGTCTTTCTTTTCAGCAAGGCAATTTGTCCTGTGACCTCTCCTCTAGTCCCTCTAATAAAGTTTGATAATTTTCAGTTTGTTCAGCTTCTTTCTTGTTATGAGGACAAGTGGTGACCTCCTGGCTCCTTACAAGTTGGAGTTGAAACCAGAAATCTCATTAAACAAGTTACTAGTAATAAAAGTCACTAATCACAAATGTAGAACTGAATAATTTCATTAGATATGTAGAATTTTGTAGCCATCACCTCAGTCCCCTCTTAGAATATAGACTACATTTCTTTTCTCCCCAGATTCCCCAGAGGCTCTTTGCAATCATTTTCCAATCCCTGGTTATCGTGATGGAGCCTGAACAAAATTTAAATTTGGGAAACAGACAACATTACATCTCAGCTTTTATTAGATTGGGATTTTATCTAATGGACCATTGTCTTATTCCTGTGTCAACTAGAGGAGATATTTTATTCTAAGGACTTTCTTTGGGGGAACTTAGTAGTAATCCTGTTTATTGCTCTCCTTGAATTGGTTCGTCTATGCTGGTAACAGATAGTTACTATCAAACCTTGTCTGGTGATCACAAGTGAAAGAGCTAAAAAAAAAATCCATCTATTAGAAATGTAGATGATGAATTTTCAGATAATGTTATGCGGAGTTACATTTGTTTGTTTTTGAGCCGGAGTTTCGCTCTTGTTGTGCAGGCTGTAGTGCAATGGTGAGATCTTGGCCCACTGCAACCTCTGCCTCATGGTTTCCAGCAATTCTCCTGCCTCAGCCTCCTGAGTACCTGGGATTACAGGCATGCACCACCATGCCAACCTAATTTTGTATTTTTAGTAGAGACGGGGTTTCTCCGTGTAGGTCAGGCTGGTCTTGAACTCCCAACATCAGGTGATCTGCCCTTCTCAGCCTCCCAAAGTGTTGAGATTACAGGCATGAGCCACCATGCTGGAGTGCTATGTGCAATCTCAGCTCACTGCAACTTCTTTCTCTAGGGTTCAAGTGATTCTTGTGCCTCAGCCTTTCGAGTGGCTGGGATTACAGGCATGTACCACCATGCCCGGCTAATTTTGTATTTTTAGTGGACAAAGAGTTTCTTCATGTTGGTCAGGCTGGTCTCGAACTACCAACCCCAGGTGATCCACGCACCTTAGCCTCCCAAAGTACTGGGATTACATGCATGAGCCACCACACCTGGCTGGGAATTAAATATTTTACCATCTTTTTTTTTCTTTCAGAAATTGGATTGGTAACATTGAAGAGACACTTCTCACCTGCCTGAAATGCCCTTCATTATCTTCTTCAAGTTGCAAGGGCTCTGGAACAGCCCTTACAGTGCTCCCGTAAAGGTAAGTATAATATTTTACTGTAGCCCCTTGCTTTTTTTTTCTTTTTTGTGCCAATAGGGATTAGCATACATGTATGTGAAAATATAAACAGAGTACAGATAGGAACCTGTAACTAGTTTTCTGTTGCTACCTATTAGTGCATTATAACAAGTTAGTGGTTTGAAACTACAGGATCAGGAATGATTGGGTTCTCTGATCAGGGTCTTAGGAGGCTGAAATCCAGTTATGGGCTGCCTGTGTTTTTCATCTAGAGCTCAGGCTACTCTTCCAAGTTCACTACAGATGTATTGGCAGAATTCCTCTTGTGGGTGGAGGACTGAGATCCCTTTTTTAGTGCTCCTGGCTCTCAGCCAGGAGACACCCTGACTCGAGAGGCCACCTGCATTCTTTCTCACCTTTCCCATCTTCCAACCAACAACAGCCCATGGAATTCTTCTCCAGCTCCCATCCTCTCTCTGACTATGTCTTCTACCCACTAGAGAAATCTCTGACACTTAGGGAGTGTTGTGATTCCATCCAGTGCACTCAGGAGAACTCAGCCTTTGTATTAGTCTGTTCTTACAGTGTTATAATGAATGACCTGGGTGATTTATAAAGAAAGAAGTTTAATCAGATCACGGTTCTGTGGGCTGTGCAGGCTTCTGCTTCTGGGGAGGCCTCAGGAAGCTTACAATCATGGTGGAAGTGGAAACAGGCATGGTCTCCACATGGCCGGCAGGGACCTGGGGGGAGGGGAGGGGGAGAGAGAGAGAGAGAGAGAGGGGGAGAGAGAGAGGGAGAGAGAGAGGGAGAGAGAGAGGGAGAGGGAAAGGGAAAGAGAGACTAGCGGGGGAAAGTGCTACATACTTTTAAACAGCTGGATCTCATGGAAACTCTGTCATGCGACGGCACTTAGGGGATGGTGCTAAGCCATTAGAAACCTTCCCCATGATCCAATAACCTCCCACCAGGCCCCACCTCTAACACTCAGGATAGTAATTCAACATGAGATTTGGGTGGGGACACAGAGCCAAACCATATCACTCTTTAAAGCCATATGATTGCCATGTAACAACATAATCACAGAAATGTCTCATTAGCTTAACAAGTTCCAGAGATAAGGGTACAGCAGGTTTGGAGACCATTTTAGAAATTCCACTTATCACAGTTCAACTTCTGGTCCCCAGACATTCACGTTCCTCACAGAGGCAAAATACATTCACCCTCTCACCTAAGGTTTTCAAGTTTCGTGTCATGAATGAATTAGTTCAAAGTGAAAAATGTCATGTAGCTCTAATCTGATCGAAAGTTTAAAATCTCATTTAAATCATCTATACCAAGTGTGAATGAGGCTTCTGAGGGTTTCCATTAAGTACAGATTCTTTTTTGTTTTTGTTTTTGAGAGCGAGTCTTGGTCTGTGACCCATGCTGGAGTGCAGTGGTGTGATCTTGGGTTACTGCAACTTCTGCCTCCTGGGTTCACGCGATTCTCCTGCCTCAGCCTCTTGAGCAGCTGAGATTACAGACATGCACCACTGGATTCAGCTAATTGTTTTGTATTTTTAGTAGAGATGGGGTTTTGCCCTATTGGCCAGGCTAGTCTGAAACTCCTGACCTCAGGGGGTCCATCTCCCTAGGCCTCTGAAAGTGCTAGGATTTCAGGCATGAGTCACCGTGCCTGGCCCAAGTACAGATCCTTGATATAATTCCCTTACCTCTGTTGACTTGCGAAGCTGAACAAACAGCTTATCTGTCCTCAGTGTGCACTGGTGGGACAGTCACAGAATAACGATGCTAGTGATTCTTGTTCAAAAAGAGGGAAAGTGGAGGGAACAAAGTCACTGATCCAAAACCATTTTGAAATGGGGCCGAGCAAAGTCCAGCAGGAATTTCTTGATTAGGCTCTTCAGCCTGGAACTAACCCTCTGTGACAGGGGGCTTTGCCTCCGGGCTCTGCATTTTTTTCTATTGTTACTGAAAACATTTTATTTTTCTTCTTCCCCTACTCTTTTGGTTATTCCCTTTTCTCCTCATGGCAGCATCTTCCACTTAATTTTTTTTGCATCATCCCCAGCAGAATTGGTCAGATGTTGCCCATGTTACGGTCCTGACCATCTCCAAGAGGGCCTGTCCTTGTGAGCCCGTGCTCCTCTTCACTGTCCTGACCTCTCTGAGTCATGATTGCTTTCAGCTGACCTGGCTGGCTTAGGAGAAAACCTAAGACTATAGAGGCCCAGAACCAATCTCTGCCCTTTCTATCTCCAGGAGAGGAAGAAAATAACAGGGATCTTCATGGAGAAATGACCCAGGTGAGGGCTTGGACTCTAGCAGAAGAAAGTTTCTGAAGAAGAATGGAGGAGCTGAGAGTGCAGGCCGGGAAAGCAGGGTTGTGTGAAACGCTATTTAATCCTGTGTGCTCCCTGCCCCAGTCTACCAGCCAGTGAATGACAGCTGACTAAGTATAAATGCCAGGACTATAGAACTGTGATAAAGGGTTTGTCCAAGGAAAGGGCCTTTTACTCTTTTTGTTTTCACAATGGCAATTGCTATTTTTCATTTAAAGTTTCTGAAAGGCAGCAGTGAGCTTCTGGAGGGTGAGTTACCTGCTCTGCACAGGGAGGCTGAGGCCAAGGCTTGTGGTGGATCTGCTGCCACCAAGTGGTGAGGGCAGGAGCCTGGGAGAGTCTCAGTCTTTCTGGGCTCATGTTCCTCATCGGTAAGATAGGGGCTTATTGTACCTCTCTGAGGTCCCTTCCTGCTCTGTTTTCTCTGAGTCTATGAGGAATTGAGATGGTTTTCAGTGCTGCCTCGGACCTTCAGCTGAGACCTGACTGTGTGTCTCCTGCAGGAGCCCGAGCTGAGTCTACATGCTGGGATCCCAGAGCTGAGGGAACAGGTGGAAGAAAGAAAGTCAGCAGGTTTAGGGGATGAGAATAATCCACAAAGGACAAGGCACTGATAAAGGAAAACCAAAGAAGGGGAGAATAAGGACAAACTGGGACAGAAGCCTGAGGGGAAATGGGCAATACCTATGATCACTTAAATTCTCAAGGAGCAGCATGAGCTGAGCAGTGAGGACTGAGAGAGAAATTGACTCCACAGGAATCTCCTGCCTCTGGCCAGGGAGAGCCATAGGGTAGATCAGAGCTGGTTTATAGTGAGGGGCAGCTTCAACTACAAGAGGGGGATGATATGACTATGAGCCCTCACCCCAGACATAGGAACCTCGACCTCAGGGCTGCCATAGCAATGGATACTCTTGAGGTCAGTGTGGGTTAGAGGGAATAACCGTGCTTGGAGAAGGGTGGAGATGTCCATTCTTACATCGAAAAGCTCTGCCCTAGGTCAGGTGCCACAGTAAGTGTCCCTTGCTTGCATATGAAGCAGTGATACTTATACTATTTTTCTGCACCTTCAGTGTAGGGTGCGTTTGGAGCCCGATGTAGGGCTGAGTGCCCCACCGGGTCGTGGGGTGAGCCTTATGCTGTGCTGAGACGCAGGATCTGAGAAATAAAGAGACAGGACACAGAAGTACAAAGAAAATGCAGCTGGGCTGAATGGGGGCCACGCCACCTATAAGCCAAGGCTGGTGAATGAGCCCCGAATGTCCAGAAGCATGAGTATTTATTGTGTATAGGTTAGGGGGCAGGGCAGTGAGTGAAATCATCTTTAAGGATAGTGATAGGGTTGTGAGCAATAAAACATGGGGTCCACCCCATTAGGTCACCTAGGCCAGAAGGTGGACAGCGCGCAGCAAGGGGCCCATTCCCATGAAGGCAGGGGCCGTGTGCAGTAAGGGGTCCACCCCCATTAAGTCACCGAGGCTTGAAGGTGGGCCGTGTGCAGTGAAGAGGGTGCAGTGTGTGATACTTCTATCTATGGGAAAACTTCTAAGAAGATTTATAGGAGGATGCCTTAAGTCACAGAGCAGTGACTGAGCTGTCAAGGTTACCGCCACCTTCTGGCAGCTTCCAATGAATTCTATGGGAAGATGATTTTCAAGCAGCACCGTAGCAAGAGCTGATAAAGTTTACAGTCACCAAGGTGGATTGCCGGTCTGAGGGCAGCCTTCCACAAGAACTGGAGCAAGGTCCTACAACTCCTTTATCAGGAGGAGTGGCTCTCACCCTAAGCCTAACATATGGCGGGTATCTTTACGATACTGAACGCTGCCGCCTGGGCCATGGATTCTTGTCGTGGTATAACTGTTTTCCCTTAATTCATGCTCTGCACTGTATCTGCTCCAGGCATTCCACAGATTATAAGCTGCTTATTCCTTAATTCATGCTCTGTACTGTGTCCACTCTAGGCATTCCTCCGATTATGAATTAAGGTATAATTATAGGTATATATGTAGGGAAATGTTCTTTAGGCACTCATACTATCAACTATTATATGATTATATATAGAGGATTATATAAAGGGAGACTTCAAGCCCTATTTCGATAAACTAATATATGATTATGTAAAGGATTATATAAAAGGAAATAGCTGAGTAGTAACACTATAAAGTGAGACATTCCTCAAGCCCTAACTGTGCCCGGGTTCTGCTTAGCTGTCAGTGCCTATATGGGGGGTTACCCACATTCAGTTGAGGGAAGCTTCTCATAAACATTTATTATTTAATTTTCTTTATACTGTGCTAAGCCCTTGGAATTCAGGTATTTAATGTCTGTAAAGAAACTCAAGCCAGTGAGTGGAAGAACATAAGCAGATCATTTCAACAAGATACGGTAGTTCTACCCAACTGAGGTGTTGTGGCAGCCCGGAGGATGGGAGGGTATGTCAAAGGACATTGCTCCTAATGACAGGGGGAAGCATAAGAGAACATTTTCAGATTGGCCGGGCATGGTGGCTGACGCCTATAATCCCAGCACTTTGGGAGGCCAAGGCGGGTGGATCACAAGGTCAAGAGTGAGACTATCCTGGTCAACATGGTGAAACCCCAACTCTACTGAAAATACAAAAAAATTAGCTTGGCATGGTGGTGCACACCTGTAGTCCCAGCTACTCGGTAGGCTGATGCAGGAGAATTGCTTGAACCCAGGAGATGGAGGTTGCAGTGAGCCGAGATTGTGCCATTGCACTCCAGCCTGGGTAGCAAGAGTGAAACCCCGTCTCCAAAGAAAAAAAAAGAACATTTTCAGAACAGACTAGTCTTCCTTCAAGCTCCCACAGGAGAGGATCCTGGGGCAGGGATGGTGTAGGGCAGGCGCCTCTCTAGGGAAGGGGATTTGCAGCATTCTGAGAGAAAGAGCATCCCTTACAAGACATTGGGGACAGAAATGTAGGTGAAAGGGTGGGAGGTTTCTAATCAATTTTATTTAGTCATGGATGTACACTGCTGAGAGGTCCCTCTGTGCTGGGCCCTTAGCTAAGAACCATGACCACAGAGGTGAGTAAAATAGGATCCCAGCTTTCACACAATTCTCAGTCTAGTGACTGGTGATTCATGAGAAGTGTAGTGATGGTGGGTTCATTGAAACCAGTGGCCGATGCCACATGAGATGACCTCAGTGGATGGCCTGGGCCAGTGACCCTGGACTTCAGCCATATTTCAGCATCTTGAGGTACAGTACACCCATGCCTCTGCTCCATGTTGAGTCAAAGCAGTTAACACAGCCAAGGTATTCAGAGGACACTGGTGATATCAGTAGCTATTGAGTGTTTCCAGCTGGGGAAACAAAGAAGTAAATTTAATAAGTCTTCTAAATTTGTGCTTGCCATAATGATAAATAACTTGATCTTCATAATGAATTATATCCTGGCAAGTTAATTATAACTTGACATAATGAGAAATAACTTTATACTGAGTACAGCTGACACAAAAGCCCTTGAGTACACATGCCTGAGGATTCTGATGAAGATATGATGTCCAAATATATGCACAGTTGGACCTACAGTCCAGCTTTGAAACAGTGGAAGACCCAGTTTCAAATTCAAGGTTGCTTTGAGTAGAAATTCACTTTACCTCTCTTTGCATGGCAATGGGGCCAATTTTCCCTATGCTGCCCCTTACAAGATAAGGAATCATACTGGTAAGATTTCAGACTTAGCAGACATGGGTAAGTAAGGAAGTCTTACAAATCTCTTCTACCCACCTAGCAAGAAACCAGAAATTTAGCAAGTTCATTCACATTCAGGACAGTTGTGTGCACTAGATCACAGACCCTGAGACATGAAGAACAGATCCCCTAACAAGGGACAATATTTCTTCCAGTCCTAGGACATTACTGCCAACTTCAGGGGAGTGGGAACACAGCTGCCCGCTTTACAGTATGGGTTACTATTGTCCCTGGAATGTGTCTGATGTCCTGAGACCTGTACCCGTTTCAGGGAGCCTTGGGAGGAGCCTGAATCACAGATGGAATTGGACGGTGCATGGAGATGGTTGAGCAGGATGAAGGTAAGTGCAGGGGCATGGCCAGGTCATACTGGGAGACAATGAGCGGCACTGATGGGGACAGACAAAGAGAAAGTCAACAGTTTGTGCTTCAGCATCAGAAACTCAAACCAATAACAGATTTGCTTTTATAAGTAATAAGTATTTTCCTATTTACATGAAAATTTAATCTCCAAAGAGACATCATAAAAATAGTAAGTCCAGGGCATAAAACCTAAACCGTAGCTCATATTTATTCTTTCTAAATGGAGCTAGCAGTAAAATCTTCTTCATAAAACATATATTGTGGTTATAAGAAGGCAAAAGTCGGCCAGGTGTGGTGGCTCGCACCTGTAGTCCCAGCACTTTGGGAGGCCAAAACGAGTGGATCACAACGTCAAGATATCAAGACCATCTTGGCCAACATGGTGAAAGCTTGTCTCTGCTAAAAACACAAAAATTAGCTGGGCTTAGTGGTATGTGCCTATTGTCCCAGCTAGTCAGGAGACTGAGGCGAGAGAATCACTTGATCCCAGGAGGCAGAGGATGCAGTGAACTGAGATTGTGCCACTGCATTTCAGTCGGGTGACAGAGGAGGACTCTGTCTCAAAAAAAAAAAAGAAAAGTAAAGAAAAAGAAAAAAAGCAAAAGTCTTACTGAGAATCATTCGTATTCCATAGAAGAGAGAATGAAATACAGTCAAAGGAAGACCCAAGTCTCATACTTCTCTTGTATATTCCAAAGTTCCAGGGAAATTCCAGGTAATAGAGGTTATTTCCCATGCTATTAAAGCAAGGTTGCAGACACTTCTGAATTTTGGTAGCAATACTCTAGGAGGGCACATCTCTGTCCTGAAAAATGATACAGGAGTGAATACTCTTCTTGTGACTCATTCTGGTCATTCATCCAGCATCACAGAAACCAAACAATGGAAATATGGCCAAATTCATGATTTCCTAGCCCTCTTGTTGAGGTTTCTTACCTGATTGTTGGGATAACAGCATTACCTTGAAGATTATGATGAAGATATGCTGTCCAAATGTGTGCACAGTTTTGAGCAAAATGCCTGGTACAAATTGGTCAACAAATAATAACTGAATAATTATATGAATATTTACTGAATGACGTGGATTCTATGAATAATTATGGAATAATTATTGTAATTGCTTTTACTAGCAGTTCTCAAAACTCATCTATGTGTGACCTCAAGTAAGCCACATAACTTTGTGAACCTGCAGCTTCATCATTTTAAAAATGAAGAAACCTGACAGCTTTTCATTCTGCCACAGGTCAGGCCTCCCAGATACTAGAACATATATTTAGTTAAAGCCTTTGATATATCTCAAAGCAGTATCATTACAGTGTAGTTGGAGGATGGTGGGGGCTGCAGAGAGGCACACTTTCCAGTGGGATTGATCCAGTTCTCCTTCCTTCAGTGCCACATGAATGCTGGGTAGCCCAGGGTCACATCTATTGCACCCTCAACTTAGGCAAGCCTAGCAGCCAAACATAGGAGACTTGGGATACAGAACAGTCTCCCAAATCCCAGGCTCACAAAACCTAGGTGGAGATGATGGCTGAGAAAGTGAGGGCGTGGTTCAGGGGATCACTCTTCCCTACTCGTTCCTCTCATCTCAAATTTACCTTCTATTGCACAGCAACACGGAGGACCACCAACCACCCCTGACCATCACTTTGATCTTGCTGTGTTTGGTTAGCGGGATGCAACCACACATCAATGGTGTTAGACGAAATCAGAAAAATATCTATCAGAGTATTCCGTAAGGGGACCACTTGGAAAAAATGTAATGAAAACAACAAAATCATATGAGGTTTCCAAGATTTCCCAAGATAGATGGTCACATATGCTTTCAAGAGATCTCTATAGAAATGATTTCAATGACATGACACCTTGAAAAGAGCTCTTCTGGGACTAGAATGATATCCATAAGTGAGAAGTATGAGATGTAGTGTTCAGTCACATTAAAAAACAAATCATCCCACATAGAGGAAGCTTTGGACATAGGGACGTCACACAGGTCTTAAGTGTAATGAAAAGCCTTTTCTGCCACAAACATCAGTGTAGTGGCACCTGCCAGTAAGAAAAACTAAATAGCATAACCATGGGATGCAGCAAGAAGAATATTGAGCCAGGAAAGAAAACATTTTGAAGAAATGAATTACTCATTGACTTTCTAGTGGATACAGAAAAAACTGCAGAAGACTCAGAGGGTATGATGGCAGTGTAATAGATTGATAACTTAAGCTTGTGGAAAAGCCTTCAATTCTGTTTAACATATGAGAAGGAGAGGTGACTGACTTCATGACTAGCATTAAGAAAGTATCACGTGTTGGGAAACTGTTTCTGCCTTGATGGTTTTATACACATAAGAGATGAAAAATGAGGCACATGCTTAGATGTATTGGGAATGAGATGGGACTGTGGCATTGTCACAACAGTACACAAATACTGAGAGTGACTTATAGAGTAATGGTCCCCATCTGTTGTGACCTCAGGTGAGACCAGGAGGCCTGTGTTTTAGCAAACCCTGGGCAATGGAATGAAGGGCTCCTAAGATTCCATGACACGCCCAGCTTCTAATTCTGTTGTTGCAACAGCAGACCGTTACCTGGGGCACTGGCCACTCTCTCCCACACTCTTTTCAGAGTCTGAGCTGCAGACAGCGCCTTCAGTTCTCAGCTCAAGCATTGCGAACCTTGTTTTTGTGGTTAAGGACCCTAAAGTACTGTGAGGAGGGATCAGGTTTTTCTCAACAGTAAGTTAAGAATTTGAGTTACTGATATCCCCCGGTCCTGATTAAAACCATTTGATTTCCAGTTTTTAATCCATCATGTGTTTGGGTTTCTTCTCCCCAGTCCCTGGCTCTCCCTGTGGTGCCCCAAATGTCAGCATGGTGGCATCCTGCAAGATGTGTTCCGGGAAGACGGCAGAGACGAACTTTCCAAATACCATCGAGAATTCCTACTCCCAGCAGGAAGAGACCAAGCAGAATATCAGAGTCAGCAAAAATAGACTTCTTATGAGCCAGGTGGCCTACTTCCTGAACTACCAGCTGAAGACATACAGTAAGTTCTATAGGTTGACCACCATGAAAGTGATGAATGATGTCCTGTCTTGTCTCGAGAAACTAACCGTTCTCTTCATCAAAATTAGTTTCATCCTTCCCATACTTGTAGAAAATAACAATGGGTATTTTAACACTTAGTTAAAGATGGAAGACAGTGGCAAAAGTATCTAGCAACTTTTCCACATCTTCAGTAAGGTGGGTATAGGACTGGGGTTACAACCCCAGCTATTGATTTCTGACACAGGCACAGAACCACCTGTTTTTCTCAGCCAAAGGCTAAATCATGTTTACAGGAATCCTCTCTGTACCACCTAAGATCCTGCAGACAAGTAGCATCTAGACTGTTGGTCTAAATGTCTGAGGCTACTGAACTTCCATTCGGTCCTGGTTTCTGCTAAGGCCCAGTAGGCAAAGCTGTGTTCTTGGGACACTGGGGGAAACACAGTGATAGCACACAGTACCCACCGTGAGGCACTGGAAGGGGACCCTGTTCCTAATAGAACCTGTGGTATCCATAAGTGGCACCATCAAGAGCAGGGAGTACCCTGGTACTGGTGCCTCAACTCCCCAATTAGCTGGCATCCCCTGTGGGCACCACCACATCTGGCTAATTTTTGTATATTTAGTAGAGGCGGGGTTTCACCATGTTGGCCAGGCTGGTCTTGAACTCCTGAGGTCAAGTGATCTGCCTGCTTGAGCCTCCTAAAGTGCTGGAATTCCAGGCGTGAGCTACCATGCCTGCTCCACAGATTCTTTTTTCAGTAAAGGTTGTTAAAATTCATCCCTTGGTCCAGACTCCTATATAAATTTCTCTAACAATTGATTGGCAATGATATATGATTAGGTAAATCAGTATTGCAGCAACCCTTCTGGAAAGCAGGGCAATTTTTGAGGATTTTGGGAAAAAGTTTTAATTTTTTGCACTGACTTAGGTCAGAGAATATAATTAAGATCTACCGTATGAGGGAGATTTTGTCCCATGGTTCTGAAAAGCAGGCTCATATACTTCTAGGGCGACTTAATCTAGGGACCATTAGAGCGTTCCTGTCAGAATACCACATTCTTACACTGAGAATATTTTATGTCCTTGTGCTATGATCGAACACTGATTTGGTCTTGTGTGAAGTGTGATTTCCTTAATGTGACCTGCTCTTCTGAATTTGTTTATAGAAGATCAAAAAGATCATAATGAAGAACAGAAATGCAGAGACAACAAAAATAAACTTCTTAGAGTCAAGTGGCCTACTACCTGGGCTGTTGGCTGAAGACGCAAGGTAAGTTCTATAGGTTCACTGTCACGAAAGTGCTGAACAATGTCCTGTCTTCTTTCTGAGAAATGATACACTCTCTTCTTCAAACTTAATTTCATCCTTCTCATACTTCTAGGAATATAGCAATGGGTATTTTAGCATTTTGTTAAAGATGGAAGACAGAGGCTAATGTGTTTAGCAACTTTTGCACGTCTGCAGTAAGGTGGGTGTGGGACTAGTGTTAATATCCCTGCTATTGATTCCTGACACAGGCACAGAACCACCTGTTCTTCTCAGCAAAAGGCCAAATCATGTTTACAGGAATCTTCTCTGTACCATATAAGATCCTGCAAAACGTATAAGCAAGATAAAGGTAGAAGTGTTTATTTCCGAGTTTCAAGGTGACTGCGTAGCTAAGACAAGTTGACTTTAAGGAGATCGAGATTGTAGATGAGAAGAGTAAAAGCGGGGAAGTGACACCCTCAAATCAATGAGCAAGGCTGTCAGTGACATCCCTCAGTCCCGATTAAGCCAATTTGACGTCACCAGTTTCTAATCCATCATATGTTTGGGTTTCTTCTCCCCAGTCCCTGGCTTTTTGTGTTCTGCCCCAAATGTCAGCATGGTGGCATCTGACAGGCCTCCTTCCAGAACAAACACAGAGGTGAACGTTCCAGAAGGCATTGAGAAATCCTGCTGCCAACAGGAAGAAAACAAACCGACTTTCGGAGCCAGCAAAAATAGACTTCTTATGAGTCAGGTGGCCTACTTCCTGAACTACCGGCTGAAGACATACAGTAAGTTCTATAGGTTGACCACCATGAAATTGATGAATAATGTCCTGTCTTGTTTTGAGAAACTAACCTCTTTCTTCATCAAAATTAATTTCATCCTTCCCATACTTGTAGAAAATAGAAATGGTTATTTTAACATTTTGTTAAAAATGGAAGACAAAGGCAAAAGTATCTAGCAACTTTTCCATGTCTTTAGTAACATGGGTGTGGGACTGGGGTTACAATCCCTGCTATTGATTTCTGACACAGGCAAAGAACTACCTGTTTTTCTCAGCAAAAGGCTAAATCATGTTTACAGGAATCCTCTCTGTACCGTATAAGATCCTACAGACAAGTAGCATCCAGTCTGTTGGTCTAAATGTCTGAGGCTACTGAACTTCCATTTGGTTCCGGTTTCTGCTGTAGGCAATGCAGTGTTCTGCAGACACCGGGGGAAACACAGTGATAGCACACAGTACCTCCTCTGAGGATCTCAAGGAGGACCCTGCTCCTAATAGAACCTGTGGTATCTGTAAATGGCACCATCAAGAGCAAGGAGTACCTTGCTACTGGTGCCTCAGCTCCCCCTTTAGCTGGGATCCCTGGTGGGCACCAAAGCCCCTGGCTAATCTTTGTATTTTTAGTAAACGCAGGGTTTCACCATGTTGGACAGGCTGGCCTTGAACTCTTGAGGTCAAGTGATCTGCCCTTCTGGGCCTCCTAAAATGCTGGAATTTCAGGCATGAGACACCGGGCTGGCTCCACAGATTCTTTTTACAGTAAAGGTTATTAGAATTCATCCCTTGGTCCAGTCTCCTATGTAAATTTCTCTAACCATTCATTGACCATGATATATGATGAGATAAATTGGTATTGCAGCAATTGTTCTGGTAAGTAGTTAGGGCAATTTTTGAAGATTTTTGGGAAAAAGCTTTAATTATTTGCCCTGACTAGGTCAGAGGATATATGATGAAGATCTACCAGACGATGGAGATTTTCATCCATGGATCTGAAAAGTAGGCTCATCTACTTCTGAGATGACTTAATCTAGGGCCTGTTAGAACATTTCCATCAGAATATCACATTCTTACACTGAGAATATTTTACGTCCTTGTGCTATGACTGCACACTGATTTTGTCTTGTGTGAAGTGTGATTTGCTTAATGTGACCTGCTCTTCTGAATTTGTTTACAGATGATCGAAAAGATCACAATGAAGAACAGAAATGCAGAGACAGCAAAAATAAACTTATGAGTCAAGTGGCCTACCATCTGGGCTGCCGGCTGAAGACGGAAGGTAAGTTCTATAGGTTCACTGTCACGAAAGTGCTGAACGATGTCCTGTCTTCTTTCTGAGAAATGATACATTCTCTTCTTCAAACTTAATTTCATTCTTCCCATAATTCTAGAAAAATAACAGTGGGTATTTTAACATTTAGTTAAAGAAGGAAGACAGAGGCTAATGTGTTTAGCAACTTTTCCAGGTCTACAGTAAGGCGGGTGTGGGACTAAGGTTAAAATACCAGCTATTGATTCCTGACACAGGCACAGAACCACCTGTTCTTCTCAGCAAAAGGCTAAATCATGTTTACAGGAATATTCACTGTACCATATAAGATCCTGCAGAACTCATAAACAAGATAATGATAGGAGGGTTTATGTCCTGGCTTCAAGGTGACTGAGTAGCTAAGACGAGTTGACTTTAAGGAGACTAGGAGTGGAGATGAGAAGAGTAAAAGTGGGGAAACAACATCTTCAAATCAATAGGCAAGGCTGTCAGTGACATCCTTCAGTCCCGATTGAACCAATTTGATGTCACCAGTTTCTAATCCATTGTGTGTTTGGGTTTCTTCTCTCCAGTCCCTGGCCTTCTGTGTTCTGCCCCAAACATCAGCAAGGTGGCATCTGACAGGCCTCCTTCCAGAAAAAACACAGAGTTGAACGTTCCAGAAGGCATTGAGAAATCCTTCTTCGAACAGGAAGATAACAAACCGAATATTGGAGTCAGCAAAAATAGACTTCTTATGAGTCCGGTGGACTACTCCCTGAACTATCGGCTGAAGACATACAGTAAGTCCTATAGGTTGACCACCACGAAAGTGATGAATGATGTCCTGTCTTGTCTGGAGAAACTAACTGCTCTCTTCATCAAAATTAATTTCATCCTTCCCATACTTGTAGAAAATAGCAGTGGGTATTTTAACTTTTAGTTAAAATGGAAGACAGATGCCAAAATATTTAGCAACATTTCCACATCTGCAGTAAGGTGGGTGTGGGGCTGGGGTTACAATCCCAGCTATTGATTCCTGACCCAGGCACAGAACCACCTGTTTTTCTCGGCAAGAGGCTGAATCATGTTTACAGGAATCCTCTCTGTACCATATAAGGTCCTACAGACAAGCAGCGTCTAGTCTGCCGATCTAAAGGTCTGAGGCTACTGAACTTCCATGCAGTTCTGCTTTCTGGTAAAGACCCAGTAGGCAAAGCTGTGTTCTGGGGACCCTGGGGGAAACATGGTGATAGCAGACATTACCCCATGTGAGGAATTTAAAGGGGACCCTGCTCCTAATAGAACCTGTGGTATCTGTAATTGGCACCATCAAGAGCTGGGAGTACCCTGGTACTGGTGCCTCAGCCTGCCAATTATCTGGGATCCCCGGTGGGCACCACTACACCTGGCTTAAGTTTTGTACTTTATGTAGAGGCAAGGTTTCGCCATGTTCGCCAGGCTGGTCTTGAACTCCTGAGGTCAGGTGATCTGCGTGCCTGGGCCTCCTGTGTTGCTTGGATTCCAGGTGCGAGCCACCATGCTGGCTCCACAGATTCTTTTTAAAGTAAAGGTTGTTAGAATGCATCCGTCGGTCCAGTATCCTATATAAATTTCTCTAAACATTCATTGACCATGATATATGATGAGATAATTAGTACTGCAGCAACCCTTCTAGAAAGTAGTTAGGGCAATTTTTGATGATTTTTGGGGAAAATGTTTTAATTGTTTTCACTGACTTAGGTCACAGGACAGATGATTAATATCTACAAGATGAAAGAGATTTTGTCCCATGGGCCTGAAAAGCAGGCTCATCTACTTCTGAGGTGACTTAATCTAGGGCCCGATAGAACATTCCAGCCAGAATATCACATTCTTACACTGAGAATATTTTATGTCCTTGTGCTATGACTGGACACTGATTTGGTCTGTGTGAAGTGTGATTTGCTCAATGTGACCTGCTCTTCTGAATTTATTTACAGAAGATCGAAAAGATCATGAAGAGGAACAGAAATACAAAGGCAGCAAAAATAAACTTCTTATGAGTCAAGCAGCCTACTACCCAGGCTGCCAGCTGAAGACAGAAGGTAAATTCTATAGATTCACCGTTACGAAAGTGCTGAACGGTATTCTGTCTTTGCTCTGAGAAACTGAACACTCTCTTCATCAGAATTTATTAAGTTTTTCCCATACTTCTAGGCAAATATAAATTGCTTCCTTAACATTTTGTTAAAAATGGATGAGAGAGGCCACAGTATGTAGCACCTTTTCCATGTCTGCAGTAAGGCAGGTGTAGGACTAAGGGTGAAGTCTCAGCTGTTCATTTCTAACACAGGTGCACAACCATGTGTGTTTCTCAGCAAGAGGCTGTTGATTTCTGACATAGGCACAGAAGCACCTGTGTTTCTCAGCAAGAGGCTAAATCATGTTTACAGGAATCTCTGTACCACCTAAGATCCTACAGACAAGTAGCATCTAGTCTGTTGATCTAAATGTCTGAGGCTACTGAACTTCCATTCAGTTCCCATTTCTGCTGAGGCCCAGTAGGCAAAGCAGTGTTCTGGGGACACTGGGGTAAACATGGTGATGGCACACAGTACCCACTGTGAAGAGCTTGAAGGGGACCCTGCTCCTAATAGAACCTGTGGTATCGGTAAGTGACACCATCAAGAGCACGGAGTACCATTGAATTGGTGACTCAGCCTCCCAGTTAGCTGGGATCCCTGGTGGATACCACCACACTTGGCTAGTTTCTGTATTTTTAGTGGAGGCGGGGTTTCACCATGTTGGCGAGGCTGGTCTTCAACTCCTGAGGTCAAGTGATCTCCCTCCCTGGGCCTTCTAAATTCTCCGATTCCAGATGTGAGTCATTCTGCTGACTCCACAGATTCTTATGTAAAGGTTGTTAGAATTCATCCATCAGTCCAGTCTCCTATGTAAATTTCTCTAGCTATTCGTTCACCATCATATATGATGAGATAAATCAGTATAGCTGCAATGCTTCTGGAAAGTAGTTAGGGCAATGTGTGAAGATTTTTGGGAAGAGGTTTTAATTGCTTGTGCTGACTTAGGTCAGAGAATACATGATTAAGATCTAGCAGATGAGGGAGGTTTTGTCCCATGGATCTGAAAAGCAGGCTCATCTACTTCTAGCATGACTTAATCTAGGGACCAGTAGAACGTTCCCATCAGAATATCACATTCTTAAACTGAGAATATTTTTCATTTTTGTGATATGACTAGACACTGATTTGGTCTTGTGTGAAGTGTGATTTGCTTAATGTGACCTTTTCTTCTGAATTTGTTTACAGAAGATCAGAAATGTCACAAGGAGGAACAGAAACAGAGAGACAGCAAAAATGAACTTCTTACGAGTCAAGTGGCCCACTACCTGGGCTGCAGGCTGAAGATGGAAAGTAAGTTCCATAGGTTCACCATCATGAAAGTCCTGAACGAAGTTCTGTGTTTCCTCTGAGAAACTAAAGGCTCTCTTCATCAGAGTTAATTTCATTTTTGCCATACATCTAGGAAAATAGAAATGGGTATTTTAATATTTTGTTAAAGGTGGACGAGAGAGGCAAAAGTATGTAGAAACTTTTCCACATCTACAGTAAGGCAGGTGTGGGACTGAGGGTAAAGTCTCAGGTGTTGATTTCTGACACAGGCGCAGAAGCACCTGTGTTTCTCAGCAACAGGCTAAATCATGTTTACAGGAGTCCTCTCTGTACCACCTAAGATCCTGCAGACAAGCAGCATCTAGTCTGTTGGTCTAAATGTCTGAGGCTACTGAACTTCCATTTGGTTCCAATTTCTGCTGAGGCCCAGTATGCAAAGCAGTGTTCTGGGGACATGGGAGTAAACACGGTGATAGCACACAGTACCCGCTGTGGGGAGTTTACACAGCACTCTGCTCCTTCCACATCCTGTGGTATCCGTAAGTGGCAGCATCAAGAGCAGGGAGTACCCCTGTATTCGTGACTCAGCCTGTTAGTTGGCTGGGATCACCGGTGGACACCATCACACTTGGCTAGTTTTTGTATTTTTAGTAGAGGCGGGATTTCACCATGTTGGCCAGGCTGGTCTTGAACTCCTGAGGTCAAGTGATCTCCCTTCCTGGGTCTCCTAAATTGCTCCGATTCCAGGAGTGAGTCACTGTGCTGCCTCCACAGATTCTTTTTTATGTAAACGTTGTTAGAATTCATCCGTCGGTCCAGTCTCCTTTATAAATTTCTCTAACCCTTTGTTGACCATCATATATGATGAAATAAATCAGTATTACTGAAATGCTTCTGTAAAGTAGTTAGGGCAATTTTTGAAGATTTTGGGGAAAAAGTTTTCATTGCTTGTGCTGACTTAGCTCAGATGATACATGATTAAGATCTAGCAGATGAGGGAGATTTCCTTTCATGGATTTGAAAAGTAGGCTCATCTACTTCTAGGATGACTTAATCTAGGGACCAGAAGAACACTCCCATCAGAATATCACATTCTTAAGCAGAATATTTTTCATTTTTGTGATATGATGAGACACTGATTTGGTCTTGTGTGAAGTGCGATTTGCTTAATCTGACCTGCTCTTCTGAATTTGCTTACAGAAGATCTGAAACGTCATGAGGAGGAACAGAGATACAAAGACAGCAAAAATAAACTTCTTACCAGTCAAGTGGCCCACTACCCCGGCTGCAGGCTGAAGACAGAAAGTAAGTTCCATAGGTTCACCGTCACCAGAGTGCTGAACGATGTTCTGTGTTTCCTCTGAGAAACTAAAAACTCTCTTCATCAGAATTAATTTCACTTTTGCCATACGTCTAGGAAAATATAAATGGGTATTTTAACATTTTGTTAAAGGTGGATGAGAGAGGCCAAAGTATGTAGCAACTTTTCCACATCTGCAGTAAGGTGTGGGACTGAGGGTAAAGTCTCGGGTGTTTCTGCAGAAGCATCTGTGTTTCTCAGCAAGAAACTAAATCATGTTTACAGGAATCCTCTCTGTACCACCTAGGATCCTGCAGAAAAGTTGCATCTATTCTGTTGTTCTAAGTGTCTGAGGCTAGACAGACACTTCCATTCGGTTCTGGTTTCTGCTGAGGCTCAGTAGGAAAAGCTCTGTTCTGGGGGAAATGCGATGGTAGCACACTATACCCACTATTGGGAGCTGAAAGAGGACTCTGCTCCTTACATAACCTGTGGTATCTGTAAGTGGCCTCATCAGGAGCAGTGATTACTCTGGTCAGAAGGATGTCCTGCTTTCTGTGCAGAGGCTCTTGTTGGTTAAGAGGAAGAATGACAGCACGCACTACTTTGTGGAGGCAGCAGTGCGTAGAGGAGGGATCCTGGGCCAGTCTCCTGAGCTCCATCCAAGTGGCTTCTTGGAGACAGTTGTTGGCACAGAGTAAACACTGTCTGTTAGTTCTTCATTCTACTGTGTCTAGCATAAGAGAAACTTTATTAGTCTGTGCATATTTCCTTTATGGCCTTATGAGAGACTCCAGACCTCCATACTTCCTTGATGACAGTTTTATCAGTGGCATTTTCTTCCACTAAACATATGTGGCCATGACGTGACTAGGACTTTCTGAATGAGAACACAGATGGGAAACCCATGGGGTTGGAGGTCACAGTATTGTAAATGTCCCTCCTTCCATGATGGATGGTGGTCTTTGGAGCAAGAGGCAGCATCTCTCCAGTTGTAAAGGACATGAAGGAAGCTATGACAGGAGGACGGTTGTTGGAGTGGAAAGAGCTCTGGAATAAGAATGAAGGTTCCCAGGCTGTATCTTCAGCAGTGTTCCTAGGAACTGTCAGTGAGCAATTGATTTCTCCTTGCTGACTTTCTCTGTCTTCATCTGCAAAGGCAGGTAAATTTCTCTCTCTCCATCTACAAAGGCAGACATCTTGCAGTGTCTGAAGCATTAAAATGTGCAAACACTTATGACCGCTTATCACAATGAGATAGAGCCCCCTCGCTGTGTGGTGTTGGAGAAAGCACTTGATGTGTGGGCATTTGGTGGTTGGAAGTGGTTCAGACTGGAGCACTCCCCGTGGAGAGAATGTCCCTGAATAACATAGCAGAAGCCACTGGGAGGGCCTGTGAAGTCACCTGATGTGCAGAGGATTGTGGGACAAGTTTGTTTTCCTCTCCTAACAGAAAGAAATAGGTTGTAAATGTGAACTGTGACAGGATCCCAAGCCTGTCCCTGGGAATCAGATCTGTGTCAGGATGGCAGAGACAGCTGCCAAAGTCTAGAGAGAGACTGCACAAGCCTCCAGTGATGTGGAGAGCAGAAGTGTTTTCAACATTTGGCTTCATCTTGATGGTGAGCCTCCTGATCAGAAATGCACTGCCTGGTGGATCAGGAAACCATGCCGGGGCATTTTGTTAAAGAGAAAACATGAGAGCTTTCAGTAGAATGGGGACCCATACACAGATGTTCATGTCCCTGCGCACATTGGGCTGACTGTCCTTGCAGAGTGTGAAATGGGAAATATCTGAACGAACACATCTGTACTTGCAGAAAACGATGAAGATGAAGATGTTCATGTTGTGGAGGCTGAGAAAATACAGGAATCACGTGCCCCCAGGTAACACTGAATAATCAGGAGTAAGTAATGGGTGATAAAGTATGGAAAAGGTCTAGAAGCACACCCTCTCTGTCGTCTCCCATGGGCCCAAAGCCTGCATTCCCTTGGCCACAATATGTTCAGTTCAACCCACCTTAGATACAGGGTGTGGCAGTTGTTGTGGTTCTTTGTATGTGCTGCGTGCTGTGTCTGAATTTTACAGGGATAACTGAGTCTCTTGTCTTCTCGGCTCCTTTCTGCCCAGTGTGATGAATACCAGCTGCTGTCTTTCTTTCCGGTTCCCATGGCAGCCATGCTCTGTCGCAGAGAGGAGGATTGCCTGTTTCCTCTCAAAGGGAACCTCCCATTTGCTTTCTGGGACCACTCTCTCATTCCTCCTGTGAAAACCAGTGAGGACTCCCTGGGGTCCAATCCCTCTTTGTTTAATCTTTTGTCATCTCTATCCCATCTGGCTCATCAGGGAGGTGCAGAAGATTGAAGTCAAGAAAGTCCTTGAGGACTCACTGGAGAAATGTGTCATCACTCTTTCAAATAGCTATGGCCCTACTGACTCCAGCCAGCCTCATAGAGACACCAATGAAATCACATTTGAGGAAGAGAATGTCAACTCTGCGCTGGTTGTAGAGAATGAATCATCTCATGATGTGGTGGAGGATGCTCTAATCATTCTTTCAGGTGACCTCTACATTCCTTGTTCTTGGTACCTCTGTCTAGGCTGAGGAAGATAACTCTGAAGACAGGCTCTATACACACAAATCGGTTTGAATAAAAACTTATCCTGGGATGCTAAACACAGATACCAGGGAATTTTTATCTCATCCTCAGCTCATGCCATGCATTTGTCTCTGAGGCCCAAGAATCAAGTTACCAGACCCCAGACCAGTGTGACAAGCTCATGGTCACCTGTGTGCAGGAGGTGTACAGGAGGTGTCTGTCAGGTCTCCTAGCTTTGATTCAGTATCTCTCATGTCATTAGGTCATCTTCCCTGAACAATGTCCCTGGAATTTCTATTTATTTTCAAGGAACCTGGGAGCCTTGCCTATTTATTTGGAGAGAATGTTCCTCAGGTTTCACTGCTCTGAGCGTCAGTCTTGATCTCTTTTGAGTCAGCTTGCTTAGCTGCATAGTCACCTTGAAACCAGGATGAAAACATTTCCTCTTTACCTTGCTGATATGTTTCCATAAAGCAAGGCTCAGCCCTGGCTCTCCACCCCATCCATGCAATGGCCGATCTGATGTTTCTTCGTAGCATCATGTGTTGTTTCTTGTTTTTGAGATGGAGTCTCCTTTTGTCACCCAGGCTGGAGTGCAGTGGCACCATCTTGGCTTACTGCAGTCTCCACTTCCCAGACTCCAGTGATTCTCCTGCCTCTGCCTCCTGAGTAGCTGGGACCATAGGTGTCCCCCACCACACCTCGCTAATTTTTGTATTTTTAGTACAGATGAGGTTTCACCATGTTTGCCAGGCTTGTCTTGAACTCCAAACTTTAAGTGGTTGACCCACCTTGTCCTTTGAAATCACAGATTTTTTTTTTTTTTTTTTTTTTGGAGATGGAGTGTCCCTCTGTTATTCAGGCTGGAGTTCAGTTGCACGATCTCAGCTCACTGCAACCTCCGCTTCCTGGGTTTAGGTGATTCTGCTGCCTCAGCCTCCCGAGTAGGTGAGACTGCAGGCATGTGCCACCATGCCCAGCTAATTTCTTTGTATTTTTAGTAGAGACAGGCTTTCACTGTGTTAGCCAGGATGGTCCTGATCTCCTGACCTCGTGAAGTGCTCACCTCGGTCTTTGAGAGTGCTGAGATGACAGGCGTGAGCCACCATGCCCGGCCCACAGATTCTTTTTTGTTTTGTCTTTTTTTATTCAGTCTCCCTAGAGACTGTCAAAAATTGTCAAGGCCGACTCTATTGCATGTCATCACGGCGGGGTATTGGGAAGTTTTCAATTAGCAATAATCTCATCTCAGATAAAACTCACTGGCTATGAAAGTGGCACTGAGCAAAGCTCACAGATTCTTTTTAAAGCAAGTGTTGTTAGAATTTATATATCAGTCCAGTTTCATGTATAGATGCCTCTAACCATTCAATGACCTTGGTACCTGGTGAGATAAGTCAGTATTGCAGCAACACTCCCAGAAAAGAGTTTGACTCATTTTTGGAGATTTTCTGGGAAAAAATTTGGTTTAACTTTGCATGGACTCAGACAGAGAATATGGCATGATGGTCTACCCGTAGAGGGAGATTTAGGCCTGTGTGTCTGGAAAGCAGGCTCACCTACTCACCAGGCTTCATCTAGGGCACCCTGGAATAGTCCTGTCAGAATTTGTATTCTTGCCCTGAGAATATTTCTGTGCTTGTGCTATGACTAAACACTGATTTGGTCCTATGTGAAGTGTGATTTGCTTAATGTGACCTGTGTCTCTGAATTTATTTACAGACAGACAAAGTGATGATGAGGAAGAGGAAGAAAGAGGGCCAGTGCCTCCCAAGTAATGCCGTGGAGTTGTGGGCTGTTAGTTCAATAGTGACACCTGGAGACTGTAGATCCTGGGAAAACGAGGAAGTGATGACTAGAACTCTTTATTCCATTCTCCCAGCTACAAATTGTCCTCATTAACAATGTTGTGGGTGATTGGTGGCACTTGTAATAGGCTTTAATTTCTCACTCCTCCCAAGATGGGAACATGCAATCAGATGAGCCAGGTGAACTCAGCAAACAGGGATTTCCTGATTTCGCCTGTTCTCCCCACTGTGTTTAAACCCAGGGAGAGATGCATATGTGCTTTCTGCCCATTTGTTGTGAGCATGTTTGCTAGGATTTGTAAAGAGAAGGAATTCAAAACTTAGACATATGATATCAAAATACTGGAAAAGGGAGGCCCTTAATACACAAGATCTGGGCGTCTGAAATGCCTCAGGAGCTCTGTTCACTTGAATGCTGCATGTAAAATTCAACACAACTTATGCGAGGCAGTTGAAGCCCCGTGTTGGTTCTCGTGCTGCAAGTCATGATGATAGTTTACAGGGAGAGTCAGTGGCCTGCAGTGGCTCATCAATGGCAAATGCACTGAGCACATGCTGCTCATTTGTCCTCTGTCCCCAGGGTAGTCACCCTCCACCCTGCATTTAGAAAGGATAGTTTTTTTATTTTTCTTAAAGGAAAAATGCCTTTGCTTTCTGTGACCATTCCATTCTGACTTCCATCAGATCAGCTGGGAGACTTTGTTGTCTAATCTCTGTTGGTTTCATCTTCTGTCATCCCTGCCTGCCTGGCTCATCAGGGATCTGCAGGAGTCTGCGGAGGAGGAAGCCCCCCAGGAGTCCTGTGATGAAGGTTATTTGACTCTCTCAATTCCTCCTGGCACATCTGCCTTCAATGAGTCTTACAGGAGCAACTTGCACTCAGAGGAGCAGCAAGTCAACGTGGCTGTCGACATAGGCAGTGAGTACTCCACTGTGAAGTTTATAAAGCTCCAAATTGTGTCCCAGATAGACCCCATAGTCTTTGGGCCTTGCTCTGCTGGCCGGGCTGAGAGTTGTCATCACTGTGGGCTGAACCTATCCATTAGTGTAGATTTCAATCACTCTGGATTCCAGTCTGAAGCATGGGCATGCGGTGGGTCAGTGAGCTTTGCTCTCTCTCTAGTCTCAGTCCATGCCCGTCGCACCCTGGACCGACTGTCAGGACATTGAAACCCAAGGCAGGTGTTGCCAACTCACACCAAACTGTGCAGCGCATGCCCACGAGTTGTCTGTCAATCTGAATTAAATGTCTCTTGCCAGCTACAATGTTCCTCATGAGTTTTGTTCCCCATGCATGTCTGTGAGGTTCTTTCCTGTATGTACAAACTTGCGATAAAGGGATAATGGTCTGCCAGAATAGGGACGTTTCACCATTGGTTCTGAGACACAAACCAAGGAATCTCTATCATGATTGGCTTTGGGACCTCCTGAAGTCTGTCTCTCACATTATCCTGTTCTCATGCTGAGGAGCCTGAGCTCCCTGTGCAGGGATTAGACAGTAGACTGTTACGGGTGTAGGGTAATGGCTTATTTTGTCTGTCCCTATCTGAATTTATTGCAGAGATTAAAAAGGACCAAGAGGAAGAAGACCGAGGCTCACTGTGCCCCAGGTAACTTTGGGCAATTGTGAACAGCTAATGTTGTGTTGACACCTGGAGATGCCAGGTCCAGGGAAAACAGAGTGGGCTGATAATATTGATACCATCTTTTCAACGAAGCCTGAATTATTCCTACTAAAACTGCTGTTGGTTTTCATTGCAGTAGTTATTAGGTTTCCATTTCTTCCTCCCCTTACTATTTACTAACTACTGTAGGTTGACCATACTTGTTTTTATGATCAGTGTACACTGTGCGTCCTGAGGGCACTAACTCAGAGTGTGCTTTTACTCCCTCATCAGTGTGTCACCTGGACGGTTCACTGAGCTTACTTTCTCTTTCTCTTTCATTCTTTTTACCCTACTCTTGTCCATCCCAGCATAAGGCAATAATTTGTTGCGTTATTAATGGATCTATGTTTTTTCTTTATTAACCACTTTCTTGTGCTACCCATGAAATCTAGTTGGGGCTCTGTGGTGTCTTATTTTCCCTGACTTATTCTTTGGTTATTCCTCCTTTTTTAGGCTCAGCATGGAGCTGGTGGAAGCAGAAGAGCCTGAAGTCTTCTGGTACTCACTGGATATATTGTGTTCAACATATACAGCATATCTTGAGTTTTATTACACATGCCAGGCTTACACATATGCCATTTTTTTTATTTGTAGAAGAGCATGTTCGCTTGACTTTGGACATGGATAGTAGGTTTCTTACTATGACAGTGATAAGACTCCACCTGGTCTCCCGGATAGGGGTCATATTCCCACACTAAGACAACATGTCACATGGGACTCTGCCGGTGCAGAGTGTGAACAACACCATGTTCTTGCTGAAAACGCTTAGCCTGACTTTCATAGCCCAAGGTAATCTCCAGACAACTTCAGAATGTAGAACAGTGAGCAGCACTACTGACCTGTCTCCTTCAGACAGCCCATGTCACCACAAATCACACAACTAAAAGGAGAAGAGGCATTTTGGGTTGAAAAAGAGTAAAAAGATAATGTAGCCACATTTCTTTAGTTCTTTTGAATCCAAAGTGTCTCCTCATCTTTTTGTTGTTGTTGATGGTGGTGGTGACATGGGCTTGTTTGCAGAGGACAGGTCAGCTGTCTGGCTCAATGGTCTGTACTCTGAAGTTGTCTGAAAATGTCCTCATGATTAAATTCAGCCTAAGCGTTTTTCCGGGAACACTGCAGGGTCAATGCTACCTCACCCATCTGCAGGTAGAGACGGTCCCATGTGTCTACCACCATGATCATGATAACAGGACTGTTGCACCATTTGTCTATCACCATGATCGTGATACCGGGACTGTTCCATCATTTGCCTATCACCATGATCGTGATACCAGGACTGTTCCACCATCTGTCTATCACCATGATCATGATACCAGGACTGTTCCACCATCTGTCTATCACCATGATCGTGATACCAGGACTGTTCCACCATTTGTCTATCACCATGATTGTGATGCGAGACCTGTACCTTTCAGAGATACATTATTTATACTGAAGTAATTGGAAAAATGGTTTTTAAAAGTATTAATATCCTGTATTCAAATGATCATCCCTCAACATTTTATTATCCATTAATCATCCCTGGCTGTGTCAATTATGATGTTTACATCTGTACACTGGAAATTTTCTATTTTTACTGTATGTTTGCTTTTGCTAGTTTCTGTTGTTGAACAAAAAAAAATCCCTGACTGCATTTCAATTTTTGCCAAAGTTAATTTTAATCTATACAATGAAAATTTTTTGTCTTTAAGATAAGACCGTCAGCATAAGGCCACAGCAAAACAGAGATTTTGCTAATTTTTGTGCCTTTGTTAATTTCTGGCTGATGATAGAGGCTGCTAATACCTATTTAAGTTAGCAGCTAGAGAAATGTCTATCAGACTAAGGATATGCAAAGCCCAGGCCATTCTCTTTGAGTCTTTTAAACTATTTCAGAAGAAAAGAGAATAGGCAGATTCCACATATGTGGACAGGGAGGAGAATACACTAAAAGACATAGCCGTTTCCAAAAACAGAACAGAAAATCCATTAAAATTCATATTTTCTCATGAAATGTAATCTCTCTAAACTTAGCCATTATATGAAAGTAAATTCTTAATATGCCACACTACATTGACTATTGACATTCATAAGAATTCATTTCCATGTTTGTTATTTGAAAAAGCAAAAGGACTATAATCCTTTCTTTTCTTTGCCATGATCTTTTTAAGATTGAGGATTGTTTTTCAAAATAAAACCAAAGATTTTAAAGATTGAAAATTGGCATTAAAATTTATCTTCTCAAAGTAATGATGTTTAACTAAGGCTGTTTTATTCTTGTTTGTAGTATAACTGTCAAGTGATCATTTAACCATTCTTTAAATGTTTCAAATTACTGGGAACAAACCACGTTCCAGGGTGTATCTTCCTTTGTTTCTTTATTTTAAGTTCTGGGGTACATGTACAGATCTTGTAGGATTGTTACACAGGTATACACATGCCATTTTGGTTTGCTACCTCCACTCCTCATCACCTACATTAGGTATTTCTCCTAATGCTATCCCTCCCCAATCTCCCCACCCACTGCTATCCCTCCTCTAGCTCCCCCACACCCTGACAGGCCCCAGTGTGTGATGTTCCCCTCCCTGTGTCCATGTGTTCTCATTGTTCAACACCCACTTATGAGTGAGAACATGCGGTGTTTGCTTTTCTGTTCCTGTGTCAGTCTGCTGAGAATGATGGTTTCCAGTTTCATCGTTGTCCCTGTAAAGGACATGAACTCATCGTTTTTTAATGGCTGCATAGTATTCCATGGTGTATATGTGCCACAATTTCTTTAACCAGTCTATCTTTGATGGGCATTTGGTTTGGTTCCAAGTCTTTGCTATTGTAAGCAGTGCTGCAGCAAACGTACGTGTGCATGTGTCTTTATAATAGAATGTCTTATAATCCTTTGGGTAAGTACCCAGTCATGGGATTGCTGGGTCAAATGGTATTTCTGTTTCTAGATCCTTGAGGCATCGCCACACTGTCTTCCACTATGTGCCTGAATATTATGTCTTTCTCTAGGTTTAGAAAGTTTTCTGTTATTATTTCTTTGAAGAAGCTTTCTACTCTTTGCTCCTTCTCAACCCCCTATTTAAGACCAGTGAATCTTTTTATTTTTTTGAGACGGAGCTTCCCTCTTGTTACCCAGGCTGGAGTGCAATGGCGCAATCTTGGCTCACCGCAACCTCCGCCTCCTGGGTTCAGGCAATTCTCCTGCCTCAGCCTCCTGAGTCGCTGGGATTACAGGCATGCGCCACCATGCCCAGCTAATTTTTTTTGTATTTTTAGTAGAGACGGGGTTTCACCATGTTGACCAGGATGGTCTCGATCTCTTGACCTTGTGATCCACCTGCCTCGGCCTCCCACAGTGCTGGGATTACAGGCTTGAGCCACCGCGCCCGGCCTAAGGCCAGTGAATCTTTGATTTTCTCTTTTGAAGTCCTCTTCTAGATCCCTTAAGCATTCTGTGTTCCTTCTCGTTATTCTTTTCTTTTTTCTCCTCTGACTGTATTTTGAAATAGCTTGTCTTAATGCTCACTAATTCTTCTGCTTAATCAATTCTACTGACACTCAGGCATTTTCCAGCTCCAGGATTTGTTTGCTATTTTCTATTACGTCAGTATCCTTGTCAAATTTTTCTGATATAATTTTGAATTGTTTCTGTTTTCTTGAAGTTCATCGAGCTTTCTCAAAATAGTTATTCTAAATTTCCTGAGAAGTTACATATCTTCATTGCTCCAGGGTTGGTGACTAGTGGCTTATCTTGGTCTTTTTGGTGAGGTCATATTGACTTAAATATTCTTGATAATGTTGATATTTGTCAGTATCTGCTCATTGAACGATAAGGTATTTATTTCAGCCTTTGCAGTCAGGCCTTGTTTGTACCTGTCCTTCAGAGGCCCTTCCAGGAATTCAAAGTGGGCTTAGGAGTTCCCTAAGCCAGTGGTCACTACATCCATTTTTGTACATCAGGGCATCCTAGGCCCAGGTACACTGCAATCCTTACAGATTCCCAGGTCCCCAGGCCTCTTGGACTTGGGGAAGATCAGGAATTGTTCTCTGGGTTCCCAGGTAAAGCCCCTAGCTTACTTTCCTCTATTTCTCCCAAGCAAAAGGAATCTCTCTGTAGGCTACACTGCCTGGAGTATGGGGAGGGGTGATGCAAGCATTCCCATAGCTGCTGCAGCTGCTGCTGTCATACCGGCTGTGACCTCAAGTCCGGTGTCTTCCAGACCTATGCAACATCGGGGTTTGCCCAAGGAGTGTTGTGGCCAACAGCCTGCCTGCCCTGACATTTATTTGAAGCCCAATTAATTTCCAGTGATAAAGCTGACCAGAACTTTGGTGGGTTCTTCCTCCTGGGGCAGCTGATTCCCTTGTGGCCCAGGGTGAGTCTAAATGCTTCTTCTGCTTACATCAGCCTGGAATCAAGCACTGTTGGGTTCTGTTCAGGGCTGTGTTTCACTATGGCAAGACTGGTACTGAGTTTCCTCCTTGTCTCCAAGCCATTAGATTCTCTCTCAAAGATGCATTTCCTGCGGTTCGGAGAGAGGTGTCAGAAGCAATGCAAGACCATCCTTCCTGCCTTCTTCAATGCATTTATTATTATGCTAAAACCAGGTGCTCTGATCTCTCACCTGATTACTTAGCTCTTGTGAAAGTGTTTTCTTGCATGGATACTTGTTCCATTGGATGTTCTTTCAGGCAGACCATTGCTGGAGAGTTGTATTCCATGATCTTACTGCACCTCCCACCTGGTTTTCTTTTTTAAATGTTTCTAATAAATAATTGTGAAGTGATAGCTTTATTTTAATCTTGGGGATCAAAAGCATGTAGCTAAGAACTTTTCCCAGCTGGGCGCGGTGGCTCACGCCTGTAATCCCAGCACTTTGGGAGGCCGAGGCGGGTGGATCACAAGGTCAAGAGATCGAGACCATCCTGGTCAACATGGTGAAACCCCGTCTCTACTAAAAATACAAAATTTTGGCTGGGCATGGTGGTGCACACCTGTAATCCCAGCTACTCAGGAGGCTGAGGCAGGAGAATTGCCTGAACCCAGGAGGCGGAGGTTGCGGTGAGCCGAGATCGCGCCATTGCACTCCAGCCTGGGCAACAAGAGCGAAACTCCGTCTCAAAAAAAAAAAAAAAAAAGAGTTTTTCCCAAAAAGCATTTTCAAAATTTTATGTCAGTGTTGACAGAATGATATACTTTTTGACTCAAGCGTCTTAAATGGATTTTTAGTTTTGATTCAATGTGACAGAACACTGTTTTTATAAAGTGTGATCAGCAGCCCTCATGTACTAAAATCACCTGTGGTGCTTATATTATAAAAAGGCGATTCTAGAGCCCACACCACCTAAATCTCCTGGGGTTGGAGACCAGTGTGTAGCTCCTATCATCTCCACAGCTGCTTCTAAGGTACACAAAGTTTAAGAACCATTCTTTCATGTTTTCAAACGAGGGATTCTGACAAAATGGCAAAGAAAAACCTTAATCTTTTAAAGTTAAGAGTTCAAGCATTAGACTATGCACTTCTT